CCTACATCTAGACTAGATCCGCATAGACTAATTAAAACAAAAAACCTCACGATAGTCCAATTTTTTAATGAGTTACAGAGCTATCTTTGGATGGGTACAAATGTACCACGGTTATTGATCTACGTAGGTAATAACTTTAAAAAATTGTAAAAATTATAAAAATGGAAAATATTTATAATTTTTTTCTTCGATAATGTGTGAAAATACCTCAAGAATGATTCCTCAAAATTTGATCCAAATATCTCCATTATTAAACATTTTACAGCATTTTTATTCAAAAAAAGGTACAAATGTACCCGGTTATTGACCGTAGGGTTAATTTGCGATCGAATTCAAATTTGCTGAAACGCAACGGCAACGTCAACAACAATTTCGAATATGGCCAAAATAATAAACAAGCAATAAAATCTGGTGTCGCCATAAATAAATAACAACAACTAAAGCAAAAGCCAAAATAGAGAAGAACCACTTATCATAAATTTGTTGATATTTGAAGATATTTTTAACGATTTTTTTGTGCAATTTTTTTTGCGCTGCATTCAATATAGAAATATTGACCATGACTCACTCATAAATGCAATAAAGAAATTATTGTTTTTGAATTTAAATACAACTTTTTAAAAATAGATTTTATTTTTTTTTATATGCACAGGAATTTTCCGTTTTGAATGGAAATTCTTATTTTATTTTTGGGAGGATATTAAATGTATCCTGTACTTCTATTCTATATAGAGGACAGAAAAGCAAATAATGTTGATGTAGTTGTGTGATTTATCTTCATCATGCATAGTCATCTTACCCGATTAGTCCTTGTATTCGTTTCGTTATCAATGGGTTCCAGCTAAGTACATTAATAATCTTTTGAAGCCTTCCCAAGTTGTGAGGCTGTCATCTATCGTTGCCTACAATAAACATCTCCTTGAATTTTGTACAATGGTTGGGCTCCTTGCTTATATAATATTGTCATTTTCCACTTGGTGGCGCTATCTCCTACAATTTCTATTTTCTGTTATTCTCATGTGCTGATTTCAGAATTGGTTTGCTGTAATCTGACCTAGGTTTCCTAAGGGATGACATCTAAGTGGTGGAGCTTACATATATCGTTGTCTACAAAATATATCCTTGAATTTTGTGCAATCTTTGGGCTCGTTGCTTATTTAGTATTGCTATTTTCCTCTTGGTGGTGCTCTCTTGGAACTATAAATCAGACAATGTTTCAGATTACCTTCTTGGCGGTTTTTGGGTTAAACACAAATTGTGTAAGGATAGTAATTTTCATTTTGTATTTCACTTCATTCATTATGCTAATATTTGCTTCTTCTTCTATTTTTGGGGGAAACCCAAATAAAATAATACCTGAATAATATTGGGCATTTTTATTGCCACAAATAATTGTGTAATATTAGATAAAGACAATTTCGAGTGGTCATAAAACTTAATTTCGAAAGAGAGACAGTGTGAGAGTGGTGACACGTGTATTTGACATTAATTATCCTACTTTCATCGATACTTCGTGTGACATTACTGCCCAATAGAAAAAGGAACACATACACCATAATCAAGATAAATGTTGTCATTAACAAAAAAACTTATTAAATGAATAATTAATTTGAATTGTCAACAACAACAGCAACAACATCCAACCAGCATTCCCTAGTCAGCAATGTCTTTTCGCGATGATTGTTACACATTTCAGAAGATAACCAATGGAAAAAGGTAAACATTATTTTGAAATCTTTAATTCGTATTGTAATTGTAATTCTAGAACGGACATGTGTTAGTAGCAGTTCAATACACGTAATTATTTTCAATGAAAATAATTGAGATTCTCGGAATTTTAAGTCATGTTTTGTATTTTAAAATAATTTGTTGTACTTTTAATTATTAATTTCATCTGAAAATAAAAATGTACACATGCATTTTTTCGAATATTTATATTCGTGAGAATTTAGAGAATTTTTTTGTTACAATTTCATATTAACGTTTTTATTTTTATACCCTCATGTTTCTTGAAGTTTTGAGTTTCATTGAGTTTTAAAAATTCATATGAATATACATTTGCATTTCGTGTTTGTTCAAAGTTCATAAAAATCGGACATATCGGTCCAATTTTACCTCAAATATTTGATATTTTGAAGCTTTTGACACTTTTTTTAACCTATTCAGCTGTAGTTTGGTATTTAGAGTTCTCAGAGGGTAGCAAATGTTCCTAACAAAAATTATCAATATTGGCCCACTTGTTAGCGTAGCCCGCATATAAAGTTACCCCCAATATTCGGTATTTTGTGGATTTTGGGTAGGTATTACAATCAAGTTGGCTGTAATTTTATATTTTGAATTATCATTGAGTAGAATATGTATCTACCAAAAATGATCAATATTGGTCCAAATTTCCGGGTAGCCCTCACGTAATAGTAACCCCCAATTATTTGGTATTTTGGGGGTTTTACATGTTGTCATAGGTTGTCAAATCTTCCTACCAATAATTTTCAGTATCAGATGATTTTTTGATAAACCTCCGATATAACGGTACAGTCCCATTTCAGGTATGTTAAAGGCTTTAACTGCATTTTCCCACCGATGTGGCATATATACAGAATATTACCAATATCGGTCCATGTTTTGACATAACCCCATTGTCAGTATTTATCCGCATTTTCCGATTGCATTAATTCAACGATCTTGGATATTTTTAGATTTGATATATCCCTCTTATAAATGATCCGCCTCATTTTTGATATTATTAAGTTTTTAACGGAATTTTCTCATCAAAATGGCTTTAATGTTGCATGCTGAATTCCTGTTGAATAAACAATTTATTTCCATTTTCTGTATTTCTATGATTTGGAACATTATTTTTCGCAACATGAATAACCTACTACATTATGCAATAACATAGATCCCAATATAAAGGTCCTGACCGATTAGAGGAATGAACACCACGTGATGGAGGGTAAAAAACGGAATTTGTACTTCTTTTTAATATTTTTCAACAAATGTGGCTAGAATTTGGCATTTCGGGTTGACGAAGAGTAAACGACTTCTACGCAAAAATTGTTTTAAATATAGATACATGTTTCGGCATTGCACGGCAGTTTGTGAATTTTCCTGACCCTAAAGGAATTTGTCAACCGAAGTGCCTGTAATTTGATATTTTCGATTCTTAACGGGTAAAAAACCATGTTCAATGAAAATAATATAACATAATTGACACAACCCCCTTATAAATTTCCCTACACTTATTGGAAGAATATTGTGAATATAAGTCAAAAACTTCCCAACCAAGCTCCCGAAGTTTCTGGCGAGTCACTGTAGATGTATTTTGGCCAATTCTGGTCAATTACTTTCTTCAAACGGTCCAGTTGTTGAAAGTACAGGTCAGAATTTAGCGTTTGGCCATATGGAAGCAACTCATTAGCAACTCCAGTCCCACCAAATGTATAGCAGAACCTTCCTGGCCGTGTCACAATCGTTTTCGCACAAGGTTATCGTATGTGATCCATTTCTCATCTCCAATCACCATCCGTTTAAGAAATGAGTCTATCCGTTTGCCAAGATTTCGCAGATGGAAATTCGATCCATCCTATTTTTTTTCTCTTAATTGGTGCGGCACCCAAACATCGAGCTTCTTTTTGAATCCTGTTTTGAACTGTTTAATGGTTGATTCTTAGCTCCTGGGCGATGTTACGACTGCTAACATGCCGGTCAACTCCGATTTTATCGACATTTTCGGTAGTGAATTTCTTTTTCTCCAAACCAATATTATTAGACTACTGTAGCCTTTCCTAGGTGGTGGGGCTGACATCTATCATTGCCTAAAAACAAAATCCCCTTTGAATTTTGTGCAATGGTTGGGCGCCTAGCTTATTTAGTATTGTTATTTTCCTCTTGATGGCGCTATCGCCTACAATTCCTATTTTGTGTTATTCTCATGTCTTGATTCCAGAACTGGTTTGCTGTAACCTGACCTAGGTTTTTTTTATGGGATGACATCTATCGTTGCCTAAAAAAACATCTCCTTGAATTTTGTGCAGTGGTTAGGGTCCTTGCTTATTTAGTGTTGCCATGTCTCCTGCCATTCCTTTTTTGTGCCATCCATGTTGATGCCGATATTTGGATATATATATATATATATATATACGTCACGGGGCTTTGGATACACTTCATCGAGAGGGGGTAAATTATCTTTTTTTAAATATTCCAATGTAAAGTTGAGAGAATTGTTTCCCATCCTCCTCAACTATTCGCTTCTATTTGCCCCATATATAAAATGCGGCTTACCAATTATAGATGTTTCAAACTTTGCACATTGTAATATTTTTACTAAATGTAGATCATGTGTGACAATGAACCCATCGGTTAAATTTTTCTGGTGTATTCCCCATAAAAGGTCAACATTTTATAAATTTCATATGAAGCGATTGGATCCATCGACTATACATTATATATACCTATTGTACCTTCAGCTTTATGGGTAATGAGGGGTATATACACTTTGCCACGGCAAAAATGTGCCTCATGGAAATATGGGGTAGGGACCACAAATTTCTTTGGACCCTATTCGTTTTTAGACAATTGAAAACAAATGTCCATCCACATCTTGCTGACTTATGTGCACGATAGCTCTCGTTGGAAGTAACCGATTTCATCCAAACTTTGCACATGGTCATATTTCTCTCAAACATAAATCAAGTTCAATGATGGGGAATATCGGTTAACTTCTTTTGGAACTTCCCCCACAAAATGGTCAGAATTAATTTGCTAATATAATATGAACAGAGTATGCGAGTTGAACCAAATTGGAAGATATGAATATAGGTCGCCTATAAATTTGGAAAATTTATAAATCTCGTTGAAGCGGAAAGAATATCCGATTTCGTTTAAACTTAATATGCTTAGGGAATATATCAGTCGGAAACATGGACTGAACCTTTAGTTTATTGTCTCATAATTTATAACTATTCTAAATCCCCTTCCATTTCCCTTTTCTTCCATTCCAGTGCCATGACGGATAAACATTCAATACAGGGTGATGCAACGGATGATACCATCAACGTGCTGGATCATGATTTAATACCAAATTTCCAACGTGTATCCATTTCCGGTGAAGATACCAGCGGCGTGCCTTTAGAAGATTTAGAAAGAGCTTCCACTCTGCTCATACAGGCATTGGAAATGCGTTCACGTTATATGTCCATATCGGAACAATCGTTTCCAACAACAACTCTGCGTTTCTTGAAAACGGTACACGAAAGTGATCGTTTCAACAAAATCCAATATGAAGATCGTAAATCCATTGCCGGTAAGTTCAAAATTCGTATTTCTTTTATTTGTTGTTATTTATTTTATTTACTTTTTTTAAAATGTTTTTCATTATATATATAAATTTAATACGTCGATTAAAAAGAAATTATTTATTATAATCTTTTTTCTAAATAGGCTAAATTTTTGTATAATATAAATTTTGATATAATATAAATAATTTATATGATTTATTTTATTATTTTCCATTTTTGGTTTTTTTTATTTTTTGTTTATTTTTCTTTCGATATTCACCAACCACCACCATTACACTTTTTTATGGTTTGTACAGCAATTGTTCGGTTATTGAAAGAGAGAAGGTGTGTTTGAAAACTAAATAAAAAATGTATATACATATATAGCACAATTAAACATTTATCCTTTAACTTTTGTAAATATTAAGTGTTATGTGTCTGCTTTATATATTTTTTTTCTTTTAATTTTTTAATTCTTGGGTAATTATGAAATAATATTAAAAATATACATGTTCTCAAAGACATTGACACTTTGTGGGGTAGTTACTAGAGGGAGTAATGTGAAGGGTCCCATATCTTCGGATTTGGGTAAAAATATAATAAATCAAATATTAAAAATCTTACAAATAAATAACATCTTAAAAATACCGAAAATTCGGCGAGCCTTTATATGATGATTCGTTTCACACTTCAAGAACTCGGAATACCAAATTATTGACACTTCGGTGTGATCATTTTAATAAAACTTCATAATAATGGAAATGGTTTGAAAATATATGTTTCACCCTCCAAAATAATAATTACAGTCAATTTAGTTGGAAAATGCGACCCCATGATATGACTTTAATCTATTGAAAACTTTTATCTATTGAAAATATTTCATATATCTCATGGGTATCGAAGCTTGGCAAAAGTATTTAGCATTTAAGTCACTCTCGAACCTTCGGAAAAAGGATGAAATAGCAGTTATGTGGGGTTATATCAAAACATGGACCTATATATACACCTCATAAATTTATATATACACAACTTATATATAAGTCAGCCTACTAGAACCCCTTATAGCAAATTACAGTAACATCGTTTGGAAAATGCGGTTAAATTCTTCAAAGTAGTTATACCAAACTTGACACCCCATAAGACTGTGATAAATCAAATCAGAGCGAATTTGGTTGAAGCTCTCCAAAATACACAAATTTAAATATTGGCCATGTTTAAAAGGACGTTTTGACTCCCCCATGAAAACCTGAAAAATAACTTTCCAAAATACCGAATAATGGGGGGTTATGGGGGCTACCCGGAAACATGGGCCATTTGAAACACCAGCTTCTCCAAAACGAGAACCAATATTAATAATTTTTAATAGGAGGATTTATTACCATACCACAACCGAAAATTACAACAAAATCCGAATATTGTGGGGTATCGTTATATGGTTATATGGTCTTTGTGCATATGTTTGTAACAGGCAAAAGGAAACGAGATGGTTCCTTTTGAGAATATGCATAGAATCACTTTCTAAGTCGATTTATGCATGTTCGTCCGTCTGTCTGTCCATGTTAAATTGTAAACAAAGTACAGGTCGCATTTGTGATTCGAATTGGATGAAATTTGACATAGCTCATTTATTTGGCCCAAGGACGAACCCTATTGAAATTGGGAAAAATCGATTCAGACTTAGACATAGCTCCCATATATGTTTTCGTCCGATTTAAGGTAAATGGTGCACCAAAGACCCTAAATAACTTTCGATTTGCACGAAATTTGGCACAGTGTATTGAATTAAGCCTGGAATGATGTGCGCTAAGTTTCGTGAAAATCGGTTCAAATTTAGATATAATCCCATATATATTTTAGTCCGATTTAAGGTAAATGGTTCGCCAAAGTCCCTAAATATTTTTCGATTTGCACGAAATTAGGTACAGTGTACTGACTTGAGTCTAGAATTATGTGTGCAAAGTTCCGTGCAAATCGGTTCAGAATTAGATATAGCTCCCATATATATATATATATATATATATTCGTCCGATTTAAAGTAAATGTTGCGCCAAAGGCCCTAAATATCTTTCGATTTGCACGAAATTTGGCATAGTGTACTGACTTGAGTCAAGAATGATGTGTGTTAAGTTTCTTGAAAATCGGCCGATTTAATGTAAATGATAAATGTTGCACCAAAGTCTTCATGTTTTTTTTCAGAATAGAATGACGTAATTGCGTGTAGAAGTACAGATGTAGCCCATATATATTTCCGACCGACTTCATATTAATTGGGCTCCAAATCTTCAACGGGTGCTTTAAATCGATTTACATAAGTGTGTCCCATTTTAACAAACGAATGTCATGTTTATGAATTGATCTAAGTCGATTGACATTTAGATAAAGGTCACATAGTTTAGTTCATCCAATTTCATGTTAATGGCCCTTCTGTTAGGATGCATATTTTTCCTATACCTATAGTGGTGAAGGGTATCATATAGTCGGCCCGTCCGACTTTACTACTTTCCTTACTGATTTTAAAGTGTATCCTTTCACAGTTTTAATTCGTTGTTAGTTATTCTGTACTTTGGTCTGATAATGTGATTCACGACGACAAATTGAATGTGTACCATTCGATTTTATTAATACTTTAGATTTTCTTTGTCGTAAAAGCTTCAAAAATAACTTCGGAATACCGGGTAATTTGAAAATCCTTTATTTAATAATGTGCATAGGCATCCCTGCTGCATAAGGTCAAAATTAGAGGTAACCTTGGACAAGTACTGTATATATTTCATAATTACCCACTTTTATTTTAGCACATACATACATATTTTTTTATTTTTAAATAAACGGTACATATATATTATATGTGACAATTACGACTGCACCAAAAATATTCTAATAATGAGTACCACTTAAGCTTTAAATGTTGTTATTGAAATTTAAATAATTTTTATTTTTTATTTTGTATTAAATCCCCGTCTATCGGATAGCTGACACAATTAGCGTACAAACCATAAAAAAGTTTTTAAATAGGAGTTTTAGTTCAGAACGATTCCATAAATATTATTTTTCCTCAGATTTTGAAGTATAATTTGTTAAAACGTTTATTCAATCTGTTCCATATGTAATTAAAGGATCTATTTTAATTTAGTCCTATGTTAATGTGTATAGTAGGAGTATAATTTTTTGTAAATTTGTAGACTTATAGAAGTAACCATGACACAATAAAAAGATGTAGGCTAATGGCACAGCCTTAATAAAATTGTTTATATTTATTAATATAATATATTTTTAAAAATGTCAATCAACGAAATAACCCATTGTACGTCTTTCTATGTAAAGTCGCATTATAAGACTCCACTTCAGAGGTCAGTTTTTCTTAATAATTTCAAACTACTTCTACCATTTTATTGTGCCATGGAAGTTACTAGCCTCTATTCTATAATTCTAGATAATTTTAGACGAAGTTAAATTATATTCATAAGAACTTCAAAAAAATCGATTTGAAAATAAAGTGTAGGACAAGTCCAAAAAACATTACCATTTTTTACATTAGTTTATTACAATTTTATTTAATATTTAGTTTATGTGTGTGTTTTTAGTTTTTACTTGATTTTAATTTTTGTAATTCTACTTTTTTATTCTTGTACACACCTTGATTTCATTCATTATTCTTTTATAGAATTAATCCGCAAGATCAGTCTACCTATGATCCATTTTCCACCCAGAGGTACAAGAACATGATCTCCTTGAAAAAAAGAAAAAAAGAATAAGTTTTTCGTTTTTGTTTTTCTTTTAAGTTTTAGAAATTTTAAGTTGTTTTCTTTTATAATTTGCTTTTGTTAATTTTGTTTTGATTTGAGTTTTATAATTTTTATGTTGAGTTGTAATTTATTTGTTTCTATTTTTTTTCAACTGCTTCCTTTATCAACAAGTTTGTGTGCCTTTGTAAAAAAAACAGTTTCCTTAAATTGCTTTAAAATGAAGACAAGATTTTTGCAAGCATTGTATTTAATATTTGAATTTTATTACTGATAATAATAATAATGACATTGCATCATTATGATAATGTCATTACAAATTCCATTACTCAGAGTGATGCACCAATCCTCAAGTTTGCAAAAGTCTTTGTCTTTCCCTTTTGTATCTTTTCGTTTATTTTATATTGTTAATTGCTTGCTTTTGTTGAAAGAATGTAACACCAGCTGTTTGAAAATGCCTAAAAATTCACTAAAAAAAAGCTTTTACTGCAGTTTGTTTTTTTCGTTAGTTATTTCCGTATGGCCATATTGAAGGATAATTTTTTCAAACACCTTCAGCCCATATTTGCACAATGTTTTCATGCATTTCTCTTCCTTAATATGGTACATACGATGTTTTCTTGTTCGTATGCTTTTGAAAGCGAATAATAATACAGTCAATTCCGAATAACTGAAATCGACGTATCCAAAAAGTTGAAATACAATAATCCGATAATTGAAAATAGCCATCGAATTTCCTTGTAATTTCAGTTATATGGGTTCGATTGTATTTACTTTGAAATGAAGATATAGTCGATTCCCCATAACTGAAATTCACTTCAATACAAATATTTGGATATTATATATAAGTATCCTTTAATTTATTATCGGATTATAATTAAATTAAAAGGAAATAACGGAATCTAATTTCATAATAATTTCAGTTATACGGATTTTACTGTGTATACTTTTAAGTACTATGTAGTGTGTTTTTTGAATGAAAACTTTTGTTTCTGAACAACCAACTCAACTATTTTGAACACCTTACACAAAAGGCACAATTGCTATCATTTTGCTTTAATTCATTAAAATTGTAAAATAATTGTTCTGTCTAAAATTGTTCAAAATAGACCCCTATTAATTATATATATATATATATATATTATTAAAAAAATACACAATTTCTAATAGTCTTCTGAAAAAATCCCCTATTTCATATAGTCCCCTAAATACATTCTTTAAAATATCAACGATATGTTATAGTCCCCTAAAAATATTTGTAAACAAGTGAAAAAGCGTTAAGTTCGGCCGGGCCGAACTTTGGATACCCTCCACCATAGATATACTGGCAGGTACTTGAAATGAAAATATAGGGAACATGCCAAAAAGTGACCTTTCTACAAACTGATTATGTAAACCATAATAAACACCAAATACAAATTTCAGCAGTTTTTAATGGATATTTATAACCTCAGCCTTATGGTTAATGAGGTTGTATACACTTTGATACAGTGAAAATGTGCCTCATCGAAATATTGGTTCTAGACCCCATGTTTCTTTGGGCCAACTCAGTTTCAGAAAATTGTGATTTCATCCAAACTTTGCCTATCTTATTATTTCTTCCAAACTTAGTTCAAGTTCGAAGATGGGGAATATCGGTCCACTCCTTCTGGTAAATCCAACACAGGGTATAGGCCTAGGCCTAAATCCGGGCTATAGCTCATTATCGAACCATACGTTCTAGTTTTTTATCTCGATATCCTCCGCAGGTGAAATGATTACATCAGAGTCTCAGAACTAAACCCAAAACGCTGAACAAATCAGATAACTTTTTAAATATAAAAAGGGAGTTATATGGGAACTACACCAAAAGGGGGCGAATATTATTAATTTTTGGTAGGGAGATTTGTTACCATATATGACTATAAAATACCAAATTGCAGCGAATTCGATTGAAAACCTCGCTCAAGAATCCCAAAATACCAAAAATTGGGGATATCCTTATATGGGGACTACCCGAAAGAATGGACCTATATTCATAATTTTTTGTGGAGAGATTTGGAACTATTAAGAACTCAAAATACTAAATTATAGCCAATTCGGTGGAAAATACGATCAAAACCCTCAAAATACTGAAAAATAGGTGGTAACGTTATTTATAATTTTTTGTGGAGACATTAAGTACCCAATAAGAACCCAATGTATTAAATATCGGCGAATTCGGTTGAGCTTTGCCTAAACGTGGACCGATATATCCCTTCTTCGAACTTGACCTGCCTGCAGAAAAAAGACAACCCTATGCAAAATATCCTTCAGCAGATGCGTGATTACAACAGACGGACGGACATGGCTAAATCGTCTTAGAATTTTACCCTGATCAAGAATATATATACTTTATAGGGTCGGAAATGAATATTTCGATGAGTTACAAAAGGAATGACAAAATTAATATACCCTCCATACTATGGTGGAGAGTATAAAAGTCAAAATCGAAAAATCCACAATTTTTTAACGTCTCCACAAATAATTTTCTTAAAAATATCCATCTGAAAAAACCAGGTATTTGTATAGTTCCCTAATTTAATCTTTAAAACCATTCAAAATTTCTAATAGCACCCACAATATGAAACCCTACACAACTACCACGAAAATATAAATTTTTTGTCGTTCTATATTCTGAGCTTGGGCAATATTTCGCGATATTTTCACCCTCTTGACCGACTAGAGGTCAAAAAATATTACTAATATTCTAATTACTTATCCAGATTCCCTTCACCGTGGGTTGTGTTATGATGTTCGGATTTCAATTGTGGCCTATAATCGACTCAAAAAAAAAAAAAAAACTTCAGTAGTGTTGGCGGGTTATTTGGGATACCATTTGTATTTTGTTTTTGCAAAATAGTCAGGCTTAATCCCAGTTTGTTGTTTTTATAAAAAAACAAACAACTATTTATTAGTGGGGAATGTATGGCATTGTCCGCCGAGGGGTATGGCAGGGAAGGCTATAGTTTCGGATCTCGCCACTGATCCTCATCATTCCCCACTAATAAATAGTTGTTTTTTTATAAAAACAACAAACTAGGATTAAGCCTGACTATTTTGCAAAAACAAAAACACACACACACAAAAATTAAGTTCTCGGTCCACTTCATTCCAATATTATCATCTGGTCATCCCCTAAAATTATAGGCGTTGTCCTTGACCATACCTGAAAATTTTCAAAGCGATCAAAGCTATATTTTCGCCCTCTAGTGTGTTAATGGATTACTAAATAATATATGTATACGTAAGCACCTGTAAACATTTAAGTGTAACGCCCACATAAGAGTAAATATGACAATAAAATTGGAATCTAATTAAAGGCCAACCACTCCTCTTGGATATATTATAAATTTCTCGGGTCTATGTCCTTCAGGGGTAAATATATACGCTTTAGAATAATAATTTTGTCATTTCTTACACAAATGTGTGGGTCCATTTGACCCGCTAAATATTGACCGATCTTTATCAAAACAGGCATGCTTATTCTTTGATCCGATTCCCTTCTCCATGTTATTTCCTTTCCGATGTATGAGCCATAATTGCGGCCACTGGAGCGACCATAAAATCAGACAAAAAAGTTCGTGGTCCATTTCATCCCCTAAATATTAACCGATCTTTACCAAAAACAATAGCGTTTTTCATTGACCAGAACCCATCCTACATGCAAAATTTCGTGAAGATTGGTCCATAACTGTGGCTTGTATCGTGTTTACAAATTATAATGGACAGACGGACGGCATACTTAAAGCTGGGTCTAGGACCAATATTTCTCGCCGTTACAAACTCTAGGGACTGCACAATGCTATAATACCCTGACAACATAGTTGTGTAGGGTATACAAATACATAATTATTTTCCAGAAGCTTTTATAAAATTATTCTTTTCAAAATCCACAATTATTGCTCTGATATCCCTCCAAAATTTTTCTTTAATAATCCACAATAATTATTAACAACTCCAGCTATCCTCAAAAAATATTTTTACATAATCCAAAATATTTTACATAATCCAAAATATTTTCCCTGTTGTCCTCCCGATAGTTCCGATTATTGCCCTAATAGTTCTCGAACAAAATACTTAAAAAACTCAAATATTATTTTAAAAATCTTCGATTATTGCCAAAATGGTTCTCGAATAAAATTCTTTAAAAAATTGCGGAATTGTCATGCGTTTTCTGGAACAATCAATAAATTGAATAATCCAGGATTTTTTCCCCTGAAGCTTTCGAAAAATATTTCTTTAAGAATCCATGATTATTACCCTTATACTTATCGAAAAAATTCTTTAAACAATTCGGGATTATTGCCCTAATAATTCTCGAATAAAACTCTTTGAAAATTCGTGTTATTTCCGTGATTGTTCTCGAGAAATAGTCTTTAAATAATCCACCATTATTGCCAACATAGATCCCAAATCAAATTTCTTTAAAAAAATTGCCATAATTGCCCCGTCATATCTCAAATAAAATTCTTTGAAAAATCCAAGAATTTTGCCTCAAGCTCTCTCGAAAAATTTTCTTCTAACGATTATTACCCTGATAGCTCTCGAATAAAATTCTTTAAAAATCCACGACTATTATCCTGGTAGTTTTCCAATAAAATTTTTAAAACAAACCCATCATTATTGTCTGAAAGTTCTCAAAGAATATTTATTAAAAATCCCCCGAAATCACCTGTACAAAAACCAAAAACTATACATAAATACATTCATCAAAAATGCTATACCAAAATCCAAATATGACGGAATTGATAAACATAAAAAACACAACACACAAACGCCTTCAAATCGAATACAATCGAACGAGCGCTTATGAAGAAAATTAATTAATTGATTACATTTCTCAACTAATATAGCGAATACAATCCAATTTTATTTAATTAAATTAATTTGCAATATATTCCTTATAACGTATGTTCGACTGTATTCCAATGTATGTGAGTTAAATTCGTTCGTTTGTTTGTTACTTAAATGACCAATTGTTATTTATTTTTAATTTAATAAAATAAGATTGTTTTTTATTCTTTTTTTAAGTTAAATAATTCCTTGTCTGTTATCCCGTCTATTATTGAGTAATGTTAAAAAAATAATTCCAACAATTTTTTTATTCATTTCATTCGATTTGTTGACACAATGCGTCCATCATGAAACAAAACAAAAACAACAATTTTTGAAAAATAAAAACGACAACAATGCACTTATTTTGATTGCACCCCACATCGAATCCACAAAACACCATCAAATTTTGCGTTCACATTTCTTTGCGGCAAAAAAATTGTCACGTAACGTAAATGTAGATCATCCCATTCATCCACCAACGGAAACCAGCAATCCCTGGGATATTGAATTTCCACCCGATAAGAATTACAGCATTCGTGCCATTGATGGTGTTTATAATGTATTTCTAAATGAGGTAAGTAATTTAATACAAGGGTTATACGTTTTGAAATACATATTCGAAATCGTTCAAAATGAAGAGTGTTGTATTTCAAAATTATGGCCTCTTTATACTCTTTATAGAAACACTTCATTCTTTTGTTTTTTTTCCTTTAGGATTCTCAAGAGCCCATGATACAAAATTATCCCAAATTGAAGGATTTCTGTAATGATATGCAAATCATGTGTAACATGATTGCCGATGGACCTTTGTAAGTATTTTGGAATTAGAATTTTTTTCTAAAGATATTAATGTTGTATTTTATTTATTTTTTCAGGAAGTCATTTTGTTATCGTCGTCTGTGTTATTTGTCCTCCAAGTTCCAGTTGCATGTTTTACTTAATGAACTGAGAGAACTGGCTTCTCAAAAGGCCGTGCCACATCGTGACTTTTATAATATAAGGTTGGTATATCCCCCAAAATAGTCCTCCATAAATATTCTTTTAAAACTCCACGCATATTGCCTTGAAAGTCCTCGAAAAATATTCTTTTAAAACTCCACGCATATTGCCTTGATAGTCCTCGAAAAATATTCTTTTAAAACTCCTCGCCTATTGCCATGATAGTCCTCCAAAAATATTTTTTTAAAAATAGTCCTCGAAGTCCTCGAAAAATATTATTTTAAAAATCCTTGATAGACCTCAAAAAATATTTTTTTCAAAAATCCTCGCCTGTTCCCATGATATTCCTCCAAAAATATTCTTTTTAAAAATCCACGCCTATTGCCTTGATAGTCCTCCAAAAATATATGCTTTCAAAAATCCATGCCTATTGCCTTGATAATCGTCCAAAAATATTCTTTTAAAAATCCATGCATATTGCCTTGATAATCGTCCGAAAATATTCTTTTAAAAATTCACGCATATTGCTTTGATAATCGTCCAAAAATATTGTTTTAAAAATCCACGCCTATTGCCTTGATAATCGTCCAAAAATATTATTTTTAAAATCCACGCCTATTGCCTATATAGCCCTCCAAAAATATTATTTTTAAAATCCACGCCTATTGCCTTGGTAGCCCTCCAAAAAGATTCTTTTTAAAATCCACGCCTATTGCCTTGATAGCCCTCCAAAAAGATTCTTTTTAAAATCCACGCCTATTGCCTTGACAGCCCTCCAAAAATATTCTTTTAAAAATCCACGCCTATTGCCTTGATAGTCCTCGAAAAATATTCTTTTAAGAATCCAAGCCTATTGCCTTGATAGTCCTCCAAACATTTAATTTTTCTTTCCTTCCTCTTTCCAGAAAAGTGGATACCCACATCCATGCCGCCTCCTGTATGAACCAAAAACACCTATTGCGTTTCATTAAAAAGACTTTGAAAAATAATGCCAACGAAGTGGTTACCGTTACCAAGGGTCAAGAAATGACCTTGGCTCAAGTATTTCAATCGATGAATTTAACAACCTATGATCTGACTGTCGATATGTTAGATGTACATGCCGATCGTAATACCTTCCATCGTTTTGATAAATTCAATGCAAAATATAATCCAATTGGTGAATCCCGATTGCGAGAGGTGTTCTTAAAAACCGATAACTATTTGAATGGTAAATATTTTGCGCAAATTATAAAGGTAAGACAACTTTTTTTATCCTAAAATTTAAAATTTAGAAACTTTAATAACAAAATTTTTTTCTTTTGATTACTTTGCAGGAAGTGGCATTCGATTTGGAAGAATCAAAATATCAGAATGCCGAGTTGCGTTTATCCATCTATGGCAAATCACGTGATGAATGGAAGAAGCTGGCCAAATGGGCCATTGATTATAATGTCTATTCGACCAACATACGCTGGCTCATTCAAATTCCTCGTCTTTAGTAAGTTCCATATTTTCTTTACAAAATAAATGTGCAACGAAATCAAATTTTCTTCTTCTTTTTGCTTTACAGTGATATTTTCAAATCGAACAAATTGATGACATCTTTCCAAGATATTTTGGATAACATATTTTTGCCACTGTTTGAGGCCACCGCCCAACCCAGCAAACATCCTGAATTACATCGTTTCTTACGTTATGTCATCGGTTTCGATTCGGTAGATGATGAATCTAAACCGGAAAATCCCTTGTTTGATGGTGACATTACAACACCACCAAAATGGACAGATGATGAAAATCCACCATATGCATACTATATTTATTACATGTATGCCAATATGGCTGTTTTGAATCAATTTAGAAAGTAAGTAGATCTTTATTTTTCAGAAATTATTAAAAAGACCGCCTAGAAAAAATCCACTCTTCTTTAAAAAATCCAAGCTTCTTGGCCAGAGAGTCCTCGAAAAATATTCTTTAAAAAATCAAGCTTCTTGGCCAGAGAGAGAGTCTTCAAAAAATATTCTTTAAAAAATCCAAGCTTCTTGGCCTTAATAGGTCCTCGAAAAATATTCTTTAAAAAATCCACGCTTCTTGGCCAGAGAGTCCTCGAAAAATATTCTTTAAAAAATCCAAGCTTCTTGGCCAGAGAGTCCTCCAAAATATTTTTTTTAAAAAAATCCACGCTTCTTGGCCAGAGAGTCCTCCAAAATATTCTTTAAAAAATCCACGCTTCTTGGCCAGAGAGTCCTCCAAAATATTCTTTAAAAAATCCACGCTTCTTGGCCAGAGAGTCCTCGAAAAATATTCTTTAAAAAATCAACGTTTCTTGGCCAGAGAGTCCTCGAATAATATTATTTAAAAAATCAACGTTTCTTGGCCAGAAAGTCTCGAAAAATATTCTTTAAAAAATCAACGCTTTTTGGCCAGAGAGTCCTCTAAAAATATTCTTTAAAAAATCACTCTTCTTGGCCAGAGAGTCCTCGAAAAATATTCTGGCCAGAGAGTCCTCCGAAATATTCTTTAAAAAATCCACGCTTCTTGGCCAGAGGATCCTCCTGAAATATTCATAAAAAACAAAATCCACACTTCTTGGTCAGAGAGTCCTTGAAAAATATTCTTTAAAAAATACACGCTTCTTGTCCTCCAAAAATATTCTCTAAAAAATCCACGTAAAAATAGACATTTCTTGGTTCTAAAAAAATCACGCTTCGTGGTCAGAAAATCCTTCGAAGTATTCTTTAAATAACTTACCCAACAAGAATATATTTTTTATAATTACAATTTATTTCTCTCATTTTAGGGAACGTGGCCTAAATACCTTTGTTCTACGCCCCCATTGTGGTGAAGCTGGTCCCGTGCAACATTTAGTCTGTGGCTATCTAATGGCTGAGAACATCTCGCATGGCCTGCTGCTGCGTAAAGTACCTGTTCTCCAGTATTTATATTATTTATCTCAGATTGGTATTGCCATGTCGCCGCTATCGAATAATTCACTTTTCCTCAATTACCATCGTAACCCTTTGCCGGAGTATTTGGCACGTGGTCTAATTGTATCGTTGTCTACTGATGATCCTCTACAATTCCATTTCACCAAAGAACCTCTGATGGAAGAGTACAGTATTGCAGCTCAGGTATGGAAGTTGAGCTCATGCGATATGTGTGAACTGGCACGTAACAGTGTACTGATGAGCGGTTTTCCACATAAGGTAGGATATCTTACCGGAATTTATATTTAAGATTTAATTTAATAAATATGTTTTCCTCATTTCAGATGAAACAACATTGGCTGGGTCCAAACTATACCAGAGAGGGAGTGGCTGGTAATGATATCACCCGCACCAATGTACCCGATATACGTGTTGCCTATCGTTCCGAAACCTTACTCGATGAACTATCCAATATCTTTAAGGTTCATCAACATCCCCACATGGAGGAAAGCCCATAGATCCCCCCTCAGACACCATAACAGAGAACTTGTCTATGAAGAACCAATAAATCTATTAACCAATCAATCAAGCAACCAACCAAATTCATTCATAGCATATGGCGCCTCTGAATGTTTGTTGTATTTCGAATGTGCGAATTTATTTATGTAGCTTTTTTGTATATAAAACACACAAAAATATATAAATCCATAATGTCACCACCAGCTAGCTGATGGTATATACATACACACATCCATATATATTCTATATAAAGAAGAAAAAAATAAGTAGATTTGGGCATCATTAACTGCTGGACCATGCATATTTACTTAAGAAAGATCACCCACACAAACATCTTCTAAATTTATAAACAAAAAATAATCATGTGTTTTCTTCTTTTTTTGTATTCTCGTTTGTAATTGTTTTGTTAAGCCAATAACAATAAACTAAATTTATTATATATTAACAAATTAATAAAAAAAAAAACAAATTGTGTTTTTTAATAAACCATTACGGGGATAGAATGGATAAAGGGATAAATGGAAAGAAAGTAACCAACTGATGTTGGTTTGATAGACCCGAACAAAAGTTCTTTCAAAAATCTACACCTATTGTGTTGTTTATTAGTACTTGAAAAAAATTGTAAGAAAAATCAACCTACAAATATGTGTTCTTGCATTTTATTGATACACATAAAAACTACAATATTTCACCAATCCATTAGAGAAAGTTTCATCCAAATATCTCCATTCATCGCCGAGTTATGGCCATTTGAAGTTGAGCATGTGTCAAAATATGGCTGCTACACGATTCTGTTTGCCTAGTACGTCAAATCGGAAAATTGAAGAAATTGCAACTCCACATAAACAGAAAAATTGCATTTGAGTTGCCAACGTGTTTTCTGTTTTGTGTAACGCCTAAAAGTATGCAAATGCTTTTGCAAACTAACATGGAAACACCGAATAAACAGGTTGGCAACACATCTGAAATTTTTCTGTTTTTGTGGAATTGCAATTTCATGCGTTTTCCAATTTACGGTACTAGGCAAACAGAATCGTGTAGCAGCTATATTTTGACACATGGCCAATTTCAAATGACCATAACTCGGTGATGAATGGAGATATTTCGAAGAAACTTTCACTATTGGATAGGGGGAATTATGTAGTTTTTATCATAAGAAGTAGATTCCTATATTCAAGCCGGATCTATGCAAGGTAAATATATTACCACGTGCATTACATGTTGCATTGATAGACCTCGAAAAAAATTGTTTAAAAAATCCACGCCTAATGCCTTGATAGACCTCGAAAAAAATTGTTTAAAAAATCCACGCCGATTGCCTTGATAGACCTCGAAAAAAATTATTTAAAAAATCCACGCCTATTGCCTTGATAGACCTCAAAAAAATTATTTAAAAAATCCACGCCTATTGCCTTGATAGACCTCGAAAAAAAATATTTAAAAAATCCACACCTATTGCCTTGATAGACCTCGAAAAAAATTATTTAAAAAATATACGCCTATTGCCTTGATAGACCTCGAAAAAAAATTATTTAAAAAATCCACGCCTATTGCCTTGATAGACCTCGAAAATATCTTCTTTTACGTAGATATTCAATATAAAATTTGCGTAACATCCTTGCTGGCTATTGAATAAAAATACGTTTGGTATTGTATTTCACATGATAAATACATTTATTTATTTAAAAAAAAACTATGTGAAGAAATAAAATAATTTCTCTTATATACAATTTACTTAAATATTAATAAAAAAATAGTTATTGTAAAAATAACAACAAAAAATGTGGGCGTGTTGAAACTATTAAATAAAATTGTTTATAAGTACACAGAAATGAATAAAAAACATTTGGAGGCATTTTCAAATGTCAAATACTCGTATAAATAAAGTTGATGTTGATAACTTAACATGATGTATATGTTTCTATGTTTATATACCATTTTTAATATGCTACGGTCTAAAATATACTTGTGGGGGCTTATACAGAATTTTTATTTGTAATTTTAAAACGTTTCGTGGAACATTTCATTGTTGTTGTGTTAACTCTCTAAAAACATACATAAAAAATATCTTTTTTTGTTACGAATTCAAAATTATGAAAATTGAACACATTCTAAACTAACGAGGGGTAGGGTGAAATTAATAATATATTTGGCCAAGAGAGGAGTAGCAAAAATGTAAAAATATGAAGGTAAGACAATGGATATTTCCAGTAAAAATTAATTGTGTAAAGCTGCAAAATATGTTATTTGTTTTCTTCCTTTGGAACCATACTATCTTACAAGAGAGCTTTTTAAAATATCCTTTTGTCCTACCTTCACCAAGTTATACATTTATGCTATAAGTTTTAAAACAAATAATGTGTACTTGTTATGGAAGTCTTTTATGTTTTTTTCATTTTGTTTTAATTCGCCTTCTTTTAAAAAGGCGAATTCATACCCAATTTAGTACCAAAATCTAAACGTGCACGTCGTTGATATCTTGTGTTAACTCTGTAAAATAAAAAAACACTTTATGAAACTCAAAACGATTTTAAAATTAAGTTTCAAAACTTACTTAATTTCTTGCCATTTACAAATTTCCGAAACAATCAGACTTATCAGTATACCACAGAAGATAAAAACAATTGCTGGCCATGCTTCAGCAACATGATCTCGCAATTCATCATCTAGAAGAATTTGTGTCACACTGACCATGGCATGAAAGACCAGAATACTACAGCAGCTCAGAGTCCAAATACTATTGCGGAAAGGATTCTTTTGCCATAGTGAATGATCACGATGTACAAAGGAAGCAGATACCGTAACTAGAGATAAAGAAAAACAATGCAATATTAATCCTTTATTATATTCTTTAAAAAAATCACGCCGTTTGCCTTAGTAATCCTTGAAAAATATTCTTTAAAAAATCCACGTATTTTGCCTTAATAATCCTTGAAAAAATATTCTTTAAAAAATCCACGCCTTTTGCCTTAATAATCCTTGAAAAAATATTCTTTAAAAAATCCACGCCTTTTGCCTTAATAATCCTTGAAAAAATATTCTTTAAAAAATCCACGCCTTTTGCCTTAATAATCCTTGAAAAAATATTCTTTAAAAAATCCACGCCTTTTGCCTTAATAATCCTTGAAAAAATATTCTTTAAAAAATCCACGCCTTTTGCCTTAATAATCCTTGAAAAAATATTCTTTAAAAAATCCACGCCTTTTGCCTTAATAATCCTTGAAAAAATATTCTTTAAAAAATCCACGCCTTTTGCCTTAATAATCCTTGAAAAAATATTCTTTAAAAAATCCACGGCTTTTGCCTTAATAATCCTTGAAAAAATATTCTTTAAAAAATCCACGCCTTTTGCCTTAATAATCCTTGAAAAAATATTCTTTAAAAAATCCACGCCTTTTGCCTTAATAATCCTTGAAAAAATATTCTTTAAAAAATCCACGCCTTTTGCCTTAATAATCCTTGAAAAAATATTCTTTAAAAAATCCACGCCTTTTGCCTTAATAATCCTTGAAAAAATATTGTTTAAAAAATCCACGCCTTTTGCCTTAATAATCCTTGAAAAAATGTTCTTTAAAAAATGCACGCCTTTTGCCTTAATAATCCTTGAAAAAATATTCTTTAAAAAATCCACGCCTTTTGCCTTAATAATCCTTGAAAAAATATTCTTTAAAAAATCCACGCCTTTTGCCTTAATAATCCTTGAAAAAATATTCTTTAAAAAATCCACGCCTTTTGCCTTAATAATCCTTGAAAAAATCCACGTCTTATGCCTTAATGATCCTTGAAAAGTTTCTTTAAAAAATCCACGTCTTATGCCTTAATGATCCTTGAAAAATGTTCTTTAAAAAAATCTACGCCTTATGCCTTAATGATCCTTGAAAAATATTCTTTAAAAAATCCACGCCTATTGCCTTAATGATCCTTGAAAAATATTCTTTAAAAAATCCACGCCTATTGCCTTAATAATCCTTGAAAAATATTCTTTAAAAAATCCACGCCTTTTGCCTCAATAATTCTTGAAAAATATTCTTTAAAAAATCCACGCCTTTTGCCTTAGTAATCCTTGAAAATATTCTTAAATAAATCCACACCTTTTGCCCGAATAATCCTCTAAAAATCGTCCTTAAAACCCCACGCTCTATAGCTTACTTAATCCCTAAAAAATATCCGACTTTTATATTCATACATACCAAAATGCAATAATACACCCAGCATTCCAAAAATGCGAGCAATCTCCAAATTGATATGTTTATCGTCCTCCTCAACGTCCATAAATTTAAAGGGATGATCCATAAATGCACAATAAGACAAAATCTACAAAAATATACACGATGTTAAATGCATTTCAACGCAATATATCAGTGATGTGATCCCGACTCACCACAACTAGAACGGGTGCCAGAAATTTGCAACCGTAACACCATAAGACAAAACCAAAGACTCGCGAATCATATTCTGTTTGTTTCTTCCCCGTAGCACGATTCATAATTTTCGGATCCAAATCGATGTGAGCCAATGATAGCGAAATCAATGGAACTGGTATTGACATCAAATAGATAACCATTAGTGGCGTCAGTATGGGTCTCAGACTCAAACAAGCACACAACATATTTATTAGCGACAGTGAACCTGCACAGCAAGCCCAAAATTGTATACAGTTCCAGAGCCCGGATGAGAAACGTCGCGACAGTTCAATAATAGCCACCAGAGATAGCGGATCTTCACGTTTCACCGATATCGAACAGGGCAGTGAATTTAGCATACGACTCAAATAGATGGGTGATATTGTATTACCGGGTGATTGCATGGGACGAGCATTGCTCGCGCAACCACCATATTGTCCGGTTTCGAGTAGTTCTTCAGCGGCACATTGTTCGTCCTGCAAAGTTTCCACCGCTGATGATTGTTTTATTGTTTTTGCTCTCAATTTATTGTTTAGAATATTCGCCTCTGTGTAGGCTTCAATGTCCTGACACACTTGAGGATAGAGTGGTTCGACGCCTATACTACAGTCGGCCTGTAAAAAGATCTCAGCATTTGAGTTACTGGCCGAAGAGCCCAAGCAGACCACAATTTCTCCATAAGACTGCATTATTTCCAACATTTGCCTTGTGGCCTCAGCTGAACAGTCCGTGAAGAGGGAAACTTGCAGAGGAACATTGTCAACCTTTTCCAAATGCGGCCGTATATTCTCGATGCCCCGTGGCAGTTTGGCTCGATTGGACATATCGAAATGTACCGGAGCACTTTGTTCGGTGCTCTCGGTTAGAATACTTATGGAACGGCAATTTTCATCCAATGCCGAATCTTGCGATTGACGGCGACGATCGTTTAGTGATTCTCGGGAACCAGCCAAGCTGGCATTCGAATAGGTTTCTTGATTTGCATTGGTGGCATTCAGTAGTGTACAATCGTGATCCGATATGGCACCCGGTGCCGAGGAGCTCAACGTTTTGGAAGACTCTAGATTGGTTACCGGCGGCAGCAGACAATTCAGATCCGAAGTTTCATCATCCGTGGTGGTCGTACCTAAAACATTATTTGCAATGGAATTATCATGAGTGTCTGATGTAGCTGAAGTTGTTGTTGTTATAATGGCGGTGGTCGTGGCTGAAGTCGGTGGTATGAGGTCATTCACATCATGAGATATAACTGATGAACGGTTATTGGATGTGGAATTGGTAGTAATGGTGGTCGTGGCGATAATGGTTGGATTATTACGATATTTATTATTAGTAGTAGAAGTGGTGGTGGTGTTGGTTTGGGTTTTATGGGCTGTGGTGATGTTTGTGTTAACATGATGAGAACTCGGGGTAATGGGATTGTTCGTAGTAGTAGTGGTCGTCGTCGTTGTGGTGGTGGTGTGATCTGTTTTACCGGCAATTTTGGGCGATTGCTGCGTTGCTGCCGACTTCTCATCCGATTCACTCAACAATGAAATGTGACAATTCCAACCGGATTCCAGACCCATTTTCTCTGAGAAAACACGGGACCGCAATTCGTTCTCTTTACTGAAATGGACAAACCGTATACAGGCCCGTTCCAGACGTTCCACTAACTGTACTATATCTGTCTGAGCCTGATACTGCATTGTCACCATGCCTATGAATACTTGATGACACTGCATCTCAAAGCAACCCTCCACATCGGTGATGTCTTCCTCTTTGCTTTCCGAAAATAGTAACGAATCCGTGCTGATGCTGTGACTCAATTTGCCATGGCCACCCTCAAAGTCACAGTGCATTTTGTCGACATGTTGCATGCGCAGTTTTGACTCGGGTGGTAATTCCAAATAGGCAATACTGCCATCATTATTTGGACCGCCACTTAATGCACCATTGATACCGTGTCGCAGTGGACGATAGGCAAAGGCTGTACAGTAGGCAGTTAGAGCGCTGCGTTGATAGAAATCTAATGCACGTTTACGATCCTGTGGTGATAGGGGGCGCAAGTCCACGCCATCCCAAAAATCATCGCAACAATCCAAAATAATATCGGCTGTGCCCTGGGTGAATAGCGATAAATAGCCACCGGGATTTTCACGCATCACCACTGACAGAGAATGGGGAAAAGGCACCTTGACCTTTGAAGATAACTGCAGTTGGCGGGCAAAACGTATGTCACGGCGTACTACATCTGGTTGCTGGAAGGAAAAATGATTAAAATCAGATGTTGTATATAGTATGGTGTGATTACTTACCAAATGCCTGTAGGTGGCCAATTGTCCCTCCAAGCTAAAACAATCGGTTGCATGATCTGTAAAACCTATTTGTTTAGCCAATTCACAAAGGCATCGTCTAAACAATTTTGTGTGGTTTATTTTTGAAGAAAAAACAAGTAACCCGATTAGTTTATATATTTTGAAAAAAATTTTCGATTTTTTTTAATAGAAAACTGAAGGCAAGAAGCTTTTTGTTACAAGAAAATTCAAAAACAATTGACAGATTACAAAGTTTTTTTGAAGAAGAAGAAAACAAAAAAAAAATAACAAGTGATTGTGATTAAAGAAAAACTCAACAACGCTAAGGACTATGGACTAGGAGGGTATGTTGTAAAAAGAAATTATATTTATGTGATGCCAATTAATGTGCACGAATTAATGTGTTTACGGGTGGGGTGTATGTGTGGTGCGTGGTTTTTCTTTTGGAAAAGTACATTTAGTGGAACATTAAAAACAAAAAGAAAAGAAACAACAATTAAGAAGAATCCTCTGAAAAAATCGAATCAGAGTGGGTTATGAACAAAATTTATGAACGAAACTGCAATAGAATTATGGTCAGTGATAATTGAAACAACAGTTCTAAATGGGTGTTTGGGGGAAAGTATATATTAGTGAAATTTATATTTGAAACCACAATGAATGTGTTAAGGAAGGTTTGTAAAAAGACTATAAAAAAAACTATATTTTTTAATAAATATTTTTTAAAACCTTTTGGTGCTTTAACAAATTTGAAACATAGTACAATATTTTAGGTGAACGTCAAAGGACCTATAGTAGGTCATCAGGAGAATATTTTTCGTCCTGCAAAGTAGCTCTTAATTTATTTTTAAAATATTTGCATCTGTGTTTGCTTTAATATCTCACACACTTCAATCTAAAGCTAAATTCCATAGAAGAAATTACTCAACTATTGGCCGAATATATATGGACTCATATATATGACCACAAATAATTAGTGTCCACAATTTTTGAAAAAAATTGCTTGTTTTTTGATCGTCTACTAGGCGCATAATTATTTAGAAGTCATTAACAGTAAAGTCTCCAAATATCAACAACCGCGAACTGGAATTATCTTCCAATACAGGAATTATCTTCACCACACTGAATAGAATCACTTTCTTAGTCGATATATGCATGTCCGTCCGTTTGTATGTCCATGTTAAATTGTAAAATTTGGCACGTCTCAATTATTTGGCCCAAGGACGAACCCTATTGAAATTGGGATTTTCGTCCAATTTAATGTAAATAGTGTACGAAAGCTCCTACATTTTCTTTCGATATGCACGAAATTTAGTATTGCGTACTGAATTGAGTCCATATATATTTTCGTCCGATTTGCACCAAATTTGGCATAGCACACTGAATTAAGACTAGAATGATGTGTGTTAAGTTTCGCAAAATCGGTTCAGATTTAGATATAGCTCCCATATATATTTTCGTCCGATTTTATGTAAATAGTGTACGAAAGCCCCTACATTTCCTTCGATTTGCACGAAATTTGGCATAGCGTACTGAATTAAGTATAAAGTGATGTGTGTTATGTTTCGTGAAAATCGGTTCAGATTAAGATATAGCTCACATATATATTTTCGTCCGATTTTATGTAAATAGTGTATGAAAGCCACTATATTTCCTTCGATTTGCACGAAATTTGGCGTAGCACACTGAATTAAGACTAGGATGACGTGTGTTAAGTTTCGTGAAAATCGGTTCAGATTTAGATATAGCTCCCATATATATTTTCGTCCGATTTTATGTAAATAGTGTACGAAAGCCCCTACATGTCCTTCGATTTGCACGAAATTTGGCATAGCGTACTAATTTAAGTCTAGAGTGATGTGTGTTAAGTTTCGTGAAAATCGGTTCAGATTTAGATATAGCTCCCATATATATTTTCGTCCGATTTTATGTAAATGGTGTACCAAAGACCCTATATATCTTCCGATTTGCACGAAATTTGGCATAGCACACTGAATTAAGATTAGAATGATGTGTGCTAAGTTTCGTGACAATCGGTTTAGATTTTACATATATATTTTCGCCCGATTTAATGTAAATGTTGCACCAAGGCCCCTATATTTCGTTCGATTTACACGAAATTTGGTGGAGCCTGTCTGTTCCATATACACGAGATAACATTGTGGACGGCGCTTTGTGCTGCAGCATACCAAATATGCCACCGTTACTCAATTAGGTCCAGATTTACATACATACATAATTTTGCTCGGTTTTATACAAATGGTACAACAAAGAATCCAAGTCTCCCCGATTGACATGGGGTTTGTAATAGATTTCAGAATTAATATGTCTATGGTATTTTGTAATAGTTTCAAATATCTATGTAGATCGGACATTTAATTTCGCCCGATTCCATTTCCAAGGTCCTCTAAAGATGATATGTCTGTTCTATCTACAGGGTATAGTCGGCCCCGTCCGACTTTTGAACTTTGCTTACTGGTTTAATCCTGAATTAAGATATATTTTTCTTTATGAATTCTTAAAAGATTTGTTCAATTTCAATTTTAATTTTTTTTCAAACACTTATATATCTTATTTCCTCAATGTGATCTCAATGTAACTTTCAGCCGCTAGACCTGAAACAAAATTATTATTCTATCTATAAAATAAATATTATAAAATATTACTACAAATGAAAAAAGAAAGTAAAAATCAACTAACTAATGTTTAAAAAATAAAAATAATAAATATCTATGTACATAACGCTATGAAAATAACAACAACACTACCAATCAAATTGTGATTGCTTTTGAGAGCAAAAAATAAATTTCTGTTTAAAATCCTCTAATCCAATGATGCTATTCCAAAATTGATTACAAATATAAATGAATTTACAATATATAAATTATTAAATAAAATATTACATTAAAAAATATAGAACGTGCTTATAATTTTGAAAAAATTACCGTAGATAATAGTTTGAATATTTTTTTATTTACAAATTATTTATAGTATTTGTATAAATACTAATTTAAAGATTTTATAATTAAAAAAAAGAAAACTGTAAATTATAATTTCCTCACCAAAAGGGGCATTTTGTCCAACTGGAAAATTCTATATAATTTTTAATAATAGGAATTTGGAACCATTCATGTTCCATTCATCTTAGAAATAAAGATATTACCATTTGATTGGCTAAAAACATGGGACTATTCTGATTTTTACATGAAAGGGAACCTGAGCCATAGTCAGAAGACAATTAGTAATTTATTCGAAAGAAGTATAAATATTTTATTATAAATATATAAATCCAAAGGCGATGATCGGAAATTGACACCTGCGTCTTGCGACCATACATTGTCATGGTCTACTGTTTAACTGGCAATTTCGAAAATGTACAAAACTCCTCGGACTGAAATCGTTAACTTTCCAAAGCTATTTGAAATTTGTTACTGTGTAAAATTCTAACATATTTAATAATTATAGGAAATTAAAGAAATGCATTGTTTAGGGTAGGTAGATAGGGTCTATACTGTTGGAGATTGTCTATAAAATAATCAAATATTATCTAGTATTTTAGTCATGTGTATATATAACCTATATCCTCATGTTTGCAATTGCAGAGTGTGAAGAAAAGTTTAAATATTAAAATTTTATGTGAAATTAGAAATTCAATAAAAAAGGAAAAAAATACAATAGGATATTTTTGTTTTTGAGTATTCGGGTTTTTGAATTTGTATTTTTTTAAGCCAAAAAATTGGAAAATTTTGGTACAATTCGTAACTGTTTTGGGTAATAAAAATGTAAAATTGTTTCTTCACAGTTTTAGGATTAAAGGGGTGAACCTTTAAGAAAACTATACATAATTAATCCATGTGCTGGGGGGAGATAGAAGTGCCAATTTGAAAATTATAAGAAATAATATGTATGTATATACTTTGAAAATGATAAGACAAAATACAACAAATAAAAAATGAAAATGAACAACATACCCATGCAAAAAGCTTTTCATACTGGACTCTACGAGCTCATACCGGTTAGTGACAGGAACTAAATTTGAATCTAACATAGCCACGGCGGTGACATGGCCACAAAATTGGGCATAATGGCCATGGGTTAAGGGTGAGCAGGTATTCAAAAGGATGGCGAGACCTGAAACAAAAATCAAATATTGAATTATTCTCACATTTTTTTATTACTAAAAAGAAATCCAATTACTTACCCAATGGTTTCAAAGATTTAATGTGATTTTTCCATTCTTGATCATCGAATTCCAAACGGAATGGACAATGTTGATCGTGTGTTAAATCCAAAACTTCTGCAACCACACCATTTCCCTTGCCTTGGACTGCATTATCGGCAATATCACTTTCCGAATTAAATGAACTCTGACAACTTTTCTCCTCCATATCATCTTCTTCGGTGTCGTGTAGAAAAAATACCTTTTCCGCTGTTGGATTCGGCCACGACAATATCCCCTTCTTATCCACACAACATAGGGCAGTTATAGAGCCAAGAACTTGTACCAAATTTGCCGAACGTGGTAGTAATTCGCTATTACCACGCCACAACTGTAACCAATTACGAAAAACTTTGGAACGATGTAATGCCATATTTTCATAATCAAATGCCGGCATATCATCTTCTTCAAAGGATTTCTCTGAGTCTTTGCCCATTACCAGCTGTGGCGTTCGCAAGAAGCATTGTAATCGTGCCACACCCCAATGATTCATTGAAATCCATAGAAGGGGAAATATTAATGGCAAAAGTGGTATGACCGCCGAGGCTGGCGAGTCAATCATTACATCCATCCAAGTTTCATGGTAGGGATTATTTGAGGAATTGATTCCGAAGCCGTGGAGCCGCAGAACTCCGGCAAAGAAGGTAACAGCAATGGCACATATAAAACCCCATTGTTGTATGTATTTTGTAACCAACTGAAAAACGGATAAAAATAAATATTAAAATGGGAATAAAGGAAGATTATAGTTTGGTCGTGGATCAATTTTCCACAAGCAGTTCTATGTCATCTGATTACAATGATATAATGGGTATCATTTAATTACAAACTACGAACTACATTCTTTCCCAGAGATGATAGTTCAAAATTTAGTTTTTAAGGCTGACTGACCTTTTGCCCTGGATTCACACCTTCTCCAACGGACAAATGCCAAAAGTTACCAGGGGACAGAATCTTCTTTGAATTAAAAAATATATGTATAGCCGGCATTCGGCCATGGATTTAATTTTTTCTGCTATGGACAGATGTCTACACCTGATACACAAAAGAATATCAGATTAAAAGTTACCGAACTATGGAAGTCAAATTCACAGAAAATAGGGACTTCTTTGCAATTAGGTCCATATTAGAATGGTACTCATATTGTCACAGTAATTTAAAAAAATAAAAATGGGAAATATGTGGGTCCCATCGGAATATTGGAGGCCCATATTTAATTTAAAACTGTTATGTCGTTGCAATCAGGGAAAACTACTTATAGCAAAACGATATGCAACAGGTTCTTAGACATTACAAAAAATAGCAAAAAAAAAAAAAATACCAAATATCTTTGCTGATTGTAGATTGTCGGTGGTCGCTTTGAACAGTTCTCTAATATCAATCGCAGATTACTTAAGTACGGTGTCGATTCCAGGCAACAAACCATATCCGGCAGCGGCGTTCGTGCAATTGGCTTTAATGGTGGCGGCTCACTATGTGTAACACCATATATCTCATGAGCATTAAAGCTCCTCTTGCCATTCACTTCGGTACATGGCCCCGGCGTAATATGACCCGGTCGCATTACAATATAATCACCCTTCACCAACAAAGCCCATGGCAAATTTACAATAACGCCATCCCGATATGTCCACTGCAAGGATACACACGGCGACAGGGGACAACAGTTATGCGGATAATTGCAAGGTTGCCAATCCGCGCATAACTCCACCTCAGCCAAACGTATATCGTTTAATATTAATCGTGTTTTGCGGTAAACCTCAGTGCGTCGCAGATTATTCTCACGTATGACAACATATAAATCTAATGATAAGATAGCTGCTAAACACAATGCTGCTAAATATGACTGAGCGATAAGCAATGCCATCGTTGTCAGAAGTGAGGTGGCAATTGATGACCAGCCCAGGGGGCTGTCGTAACGTTTAACAAATGCTGAGCGTATCTTCCGATACCAACTGCAATAAAAAAATTAAAGAACAAGTGTTAATTAAGATCACGTCCCTTCCAAAACCAATCTGTACACTCACCTCTCTGCTGCCCACTTCTGTTCATATTCCTTGAGTATCTTTTCAATTTCATCGTGTAAACGTCCCAAGGCTACCTTTGTACTCAGTCCATAACCTTCCTTGATGTTATTCGGTACTCCATGACCACCGTTCTCTTCGCTGTATGATGGTCCATCTCCTGCTGTCTGATTGGTCTTTTGGTTTTTAGGCATCTGTGCAAGCTTCAAACACGATCACTCACAGCTGATCCAAACCCGAGCATTTGTCACTCTTTTCCTCAATTTGTTATCAATGTTTGGGGTAATAAATCTTGTCGTAACTAAATCATTTAAACGTAATTGCCAATTTGCAATCCAATCAATCCAACCAATTCTCGGCTTCTTGTTGTGTAGAGGTTTACTGTTAGTAATTTCACTAGCGCTGGTATACACTCCAATATAATGTCAATTCCGTTCATCTATATATGTTAAATACGTTTCACAATAATCGCCAATAATATTTTTGTCATATTCGCCTGAAATTAATTAATGTTTGTTTAATATTTGGCGTGCTTTCGAATGATTAAACCAAATAATAAAATACTATGGTTGGTTGGTTTATTTCCAAACCAATTACCAATTACTTCTAATTACCAATTACCGTTCCTTTTAATTACAGTGCCGCTTCATAAAGTTTTGACGGCGTTGCGAGATTGGACGAAATAACTGATAAAAGCCAGAATCAAAACAAACAAAGATTAGTATTAGTGTATCTTAGGTCGAAAATCGGACGAATCGGAGAATCAAAACAAATGAAGCGATTAGGGCTGCCTCAACAACAATATCAGCTGACCACCGACCAACTGCAGAAACATTGAAAGAAAAACGTTCCAACTGTTACGAATGGGATGGGATAAGACAAAATGCCCGATAAAGAAGAAGTCGTTTTTACATTGAGTCGGTAAAAGTCGAAAATCGATCGATTTTGATCAAATTCAAAATCAAATAAAAAAAAATCGAAAAGTCTAAAAGTCGAATTTTACTCTCGTAATAATTCGTTCGTCGTAATATTTAAATGGAAGTATTAATAAGGAGATTAATAGAAGAACTACAAAAATAAAATACAGTAAAATTGTGGCACCTCGTGTAAAAAATAACCATTCAGTTGCCAACTCCATAAATACACTGTGCTACAAAATAACAAAAATTTTTTTTCAGGGGTTCTAATGTACCAATTCTGTTTATTTGGAGTCTCTGGACCACGAAAATGTGCATAGAATCAATACAAAAATGTGTATAAGTCATCCATTTTTTAACCGATTTTTCTGATTTTTATCATCTTCGAAAGCTAATTTAATTTTCTTCCCCGTAATACAATAAAACTTATATGGCTTGATATCATAATTTCATCGTACAGCCCGAAGAAAAGTAAATTTTGTCATTTTATACGTATTTTTTCACATTTCAACCGCTGTAACTCAGCCAATCCTCAACCGATTTACCAAGTATATATCTTGTTTGAAAGGAAAAATTGTACTCTTCGAAAGAAAAAAAAATAATAATATAAATCTGTTAAAAAGTAAATAAGTTATTCGAGTTTTAAATTGAAAATCCATGAAACCACGTTTTTCTCTATATTTACCGTTATAAAATAAATTTTCGAAGTGACCCAGAAAAACCAAAGGTATTTTCGTGGTCCAGAGACTCCAACTAAACATATTTGGTACATTAGAACCATTGAAAAATTTTCGTGTCGCACAGTGATATTATCCCACCAGCTCCACCAGCTAATGACATTGAATAATGACAATGTCATTATTTACAAATAAAATGGTCCAGCTACTCACATCATTAAACTGCACAGAAGGGTTAGACATCCGTGAAAATTTCAGGAAATCAGTTTTACCATGCTCTGTAAAGAATTCAAAAAATACTATAAGTGAAAACGATATAGATCAAGATCCAATATAAATGTCTCTACGACACCAATTTTGTTTTTCTCAACGACATGAACATTTTACAACACAATATACAAAGCTTTAACAAAAACAAACATTATCTAGAATTCTATCTGAATAAACTTGATATCGATATATCGAGCCACATTCGCCAAAAAAAACGTTATCCTCAAATTTGAAATTTTACAGGAGAAGGTTTGTTTTAATAAATTCAGACATAATAAGGCTATTATTTGAAATTTAGAACTATAGTTTTGTTATCAACTAGTTTTGAGCACCCTCAATACCCGCAATCTCGAACTCTACAAGGTCAGACTTCAATGAACCCCCACACATGTTGACGACCTAAGGTAATCCCCTGGACCTCTCTTTTGCCTCAAACCCTGTGAAGGGCTAAACAGAATGCTCGCGTTGAGCCATCCATCGCGTTATATGTTATCGAAAATACAAAAACCACAAGGAAACGATATTCGTTTTTGTTATTGTTTCCTTGTGGTTGTTGTATTTTCGATAACATATAACGCGACGGATGGCTCAACGAGAGCATTCTGCTTAGCCCTTTATTCTCGACGACGTGAACGAAAGCCTGGAGAGGCAGATGGATCTTCTCCTCAATTTATTAGGGAAAACCATCTCCTTCATCCTTAGTCAGGACAGCATCCCGAATCCCGGTATCCCAGAAAACTCTCGACTCTGCTGCTCCACAGGAGGTACTGGCAATTATGGATCGAGCTGTCCCTAACGGGATTAACAGGGAAGATAAATTTGAAGTCTTGCACTATGAACTCAAAGGCAGTTCTTGATTGCAAGACCGCTCTACGTGATATACAATTGATAGTTAATTTATGTTGGGTACCAGGACATAGCAACATAAAAGGGAACGAGATAGCCGACGAGCTTGCTCGAGGGGCTCACAATCGTCCAATCTTCCGATTGAGAAATCTGTGTAACCACCCATTGGCAAAGTCCGCTTGTTCTACGGCAAAGAATATGGTCGAGAGAATCTGGTTGCAGGAATCTCAAAAACTATCTGGCCTGAATTCTCTCGCCAAAGAACTTCTTTGCTGTTGTCACATAATAAGAGAGGGAGATTAAAATCATTGTAGGGATCATAACTGGTCACTGCAGGATTAGATCTCTCACTACGAAAAAATAATGTAGTGCGGGTCGATTTTTCTTCTTGTTGTTGAGGATAAATTCGCTATTGCTTTCATCTCCCAGTTAACAATTTCTGAAATTAAAATGTCAGCCAATACTTTTTCACAATACTGTTCTCTATTAAACAAACATTATTCCAAAGAGCGAGCTAGTGAGAGATTGAGACATATTTCAAACCTCCAAAGTATAATTAAATATTCACCACACTACACTCACCATGCTCATTGAAAACAGTGTTAAGTGTTTGTCTGCAGCAGCAGCTGCAAAAGGAAACAATGGCACATGGACACGGTCGACGCGACAACGACGGCAATAATTATGGATGATGGTGATGCTACGTTAAAAGAGTAATAAACTATACAAGGAAACAAACATGTGACAGACCAAGTGAAGGACCTAGAGAGAGAGAGAGCGCGTTAATTTATGGCACAAGGAAATGAGAATGTGTATTAGCAACAGGGACACCAAGAGAGTGTGAGAGAATAGTAATTTATACAGAAGTATAATTGTGTGTGTTTGTGTGTGGCAGCATAACAATCAACGAAGGATAGAGGATATAATGGTGACACGACAGTGGGCAGGCTACAAACGAAGGAACGAACCAAACAAACACTCACACACACCGCACTATACTCACAGTTTGCTTACCTTTTTTATGCTCTTCTTCCTCTATACAGTGTGTGGTTGCTGCCGCTGCTGCTTTTTGTGTGTATTCGTACGCATAATCGAATCCTGTATTTTATCCTGTATATTGAGGGTGTGACCGGGTTAAATAGAAAAATTTTCATACTTTGTTCGCTGCTCAAAATGTAAAGTTCTGTTTTACGGTCGTCCTCGTCGTGTGATAGTAAAAAATTTCAAACCGCAGACATAAGAAATTCTAAGTGTGTGTCCATTTGTGAGTGTCTCATCATCGAATCGAATGAAAAAAATAAGAAATTGGAATAAATTCAAAATCAGTTTCCAATCAGAAGAAGACTAATTGAATTATAAAATCACCAACAACAACAAAAAAGTTCGAAATGAATTTGGAAAAAAGTTAACGAAAAAAATTTCAATTCAAAATTGTGTGAATTTGAAAGAAATGAAAACGGTATAACGAGACGACGAGTCGTGAGAAAAAATGAGGAATATTTTTCCAATTCGAATTGTAATTGAAAATTGCTATGATACATACATAACTAATGTGAAAAGAAAATCATAAAACAGTGCAAGGGAAAACGTCATGAATTAATAGTGCAAAACCACCACACGGATATATGTGTGCCACAGATACGACGAATTCGCCTTACAGCTAGAGGCACCCACTTAGCCAGTCAGGCAGCCAGCCAGTGAGCTAGCTTAGCTTGCTATTCCACCAGCCCACTCAAACAAACCAAAAAAAAAGAGGAAAATCTACATTAGCTCAGCGAAATGGAACAAATCGACAGCAGCAACATTTGAACAATAGTGAAACTAAGTAGAAAAAAAGGATACAACAAAACTTATGCTGGTGTGTGTACGTGTACTATTTTTTTAATTATTTTAATAGAATTAAGTGTAGTAGTAGTTAGTAGCAGTCACTCCCTGTCTGCAGGAAAACTTTTCAGCACATACTTCGTTTTTTTATATACTCTTCCCCCCTTTTGATTTTACTTACTTCTTTTTTTAATATTCCCTTTTCCTTGCATCCTCATTTTTTTTTCAAACATTGCCAAAAAAAAAGATTTATTCCTGGTCTGGCTGTTCTCATTACAAATAAAGTGTTTTAATCACACCACCTTCACCGCCATCTCTACTACCACCACCACAACCACCCATCTTCATCATTATCTTCCATTTTCCATCTCCATTCTCCATGCATGATGTCCTTGCAGTTCTTAAGTTGCAATAGTTTATACATTTCTACTGTATTTTTTTTTTGTTGCTGCTACTTTTTCAAGTAACGTTGGCGCAGAGATGCCAGGTCAACATAAATCCCAAAATAGAGAAATGCCCTCTTTCCTCTTCTCTTCTTTATATTCTGGGAGAGTATGATTCCCATTGAGGACTAAACTAAAAACTACCCACCATCGGTATGCGGGTGTGAGGTAGTCTGTAGAGTACTCAAACATCAATTGTTATTTTTTGTCCATTTGT